CGTCAACCAACACCCCCAGGTCCTTTTCCCCTGGGCAGCTTTCCAGCCCCTCGCCCCCAAGCCTGTGGTGCTGCAGGGGGTTGTTGCGGCCCAGGTGTAGGACCCGGATCTTGGCCTTGTTGACCCTCACACAGTGGCCTCAGCCCGTCGATCCAGCCTGTCCAGCCGCCTCTGCAGAGCCGTCCTGCCCTCAGGCAGATCAACACTCCACCCAACTTGGTGTTGTCTGCAAACTGACTGAGGGTGCACTTGATTCCCCTCGTCCAAATATTTATATTCCTGTGAATATTATGTTGGACTAAAGTGGACTCTCTGCACCATGGTAGATTTTGTGTGGAAGTCAAAGAAAAAGGCGTCAGATATTCCAGATCAACGTTCGAGCCAGTTGTGTTGTTCATGTGGTACATGGAGCATATGTTAGATTAAAAGATGACAGTGCAGTGTTGGATTATTTTGAACGAGGTAAAAAGACCCATAGTTTGAAATTGGCTGAGCACCAGTTCCAGCCTTTGTCCCTCTGTTTCCAGTGAAGCAGCTTGTGATCCCCAGCCTGGAGAATGCTTCAGGTTCAGACCCACTCACAAGACTGAGAAATGCTGACAACCTCCTCATCATTCAGTTTTCAATTTAAGCAAGCATTTGTTTTTCTTCTATTTTTTCCCCTCTAAGCATCTCATTCCTGGAAGGAAATTAATCTTATGTGGTCCATATGATATTTTCCTAATAGTTTTTTTGTTTCCATGCTGTAACAATGGATAGGAAATACTTGGTGGAGAGAGAAGATAGAGTCTGTCGGGATGTTGCTAGTTTTCTGTAAATCAAAGCCAGGAGCTGCAGAAAAACACACAGTGAAGAAAACGCTTAGATAGATACTTATTTCGAAAACTTCAAATAAAAAGTCCCAGAATAATGTTGAATTCAAATAATGTTGAAATATTTTTTTTTCCTCCTTAGTTTTTTATCTTAAAAAAGAAACATTTTAGTCTTCCAAGTCAGACTTACGGTAACGTCTTAACCACAGCATGCCAAAGCTGTTAGGTTATTTTAAAGTTTTGGCCAGAATCTGGACGTTTGTGCAAAGTACTCCCTCTTCCAATACAAAACAAAATAGTTGCTTGACTATTCTTTGCAGTGCTGTCACTTATAAGGCTTTTTATTTTTTTAATATAGTTTTTGTTGGGATTTTTCGTGAGATTTTTCCTTAGTATGCTGTAAACATCCACAGCCTTTTTTTGTGTGTGTGTGAGAAAGCCTTTTTCCATTGCTGTGCCTGGGAGGTAAGTCACACAGTGCAGGTTCTTGCTATCAGTAATGGTTCTGATGGAGATAGGCATTCACAGGGGATTGCTAGTGACCAACGGACGCTTAAATTACCTCCTTCTGAAAACTTATAAATAATTTATTTTTGAGTGTGTTGAAGTAAAACCACAAATCCAGTAACACCGCCCTGTGTCTCGCAGAAAATATGGGGTGAAAGGATAAAGAAGGCAGAAAATGAAGCTGTTTGGTTGTTAGAGCCAACTGGAAGCTCACTGGGAAAACTAAAAAGTTCCTTATGTCCACACAAACACATGCCATTACCCTGTGGGAAACTGTTTGCTGGCATAAAGGACACTTGGAAATTAAATACAAGCTCTAATGGCACAGTATTCTATTTCTGATGCTCGGTTGCAGGCTTAGCTTTGCAAGTTGTTGATATTAACTTGAGCAAGCATAGCACTATATTTATTATTCAAGGGGAGCATATATTTGGTGTTGAGAAATAAAGCCTGTCACAGGGTTACACTTAAAGAATGTGAATAATTACTGTATGTTTATTTTGTTGATGTCCCTTAAAGATCAGCTTCATGGCTGCTTTCCCCCAGGCTTTTGCAAGATACTGATAGTACTTAGTGATGTTACGGAGCGATCCTGTGTTATGTTAAGAGTGGGGTAAACCAGTATGAAGTGCAGTGCATGTATCTTTATTTACCTGTCCGTATTCTAGTATGTTCAGTAGGAAGGATGCTAAAGCAAAAGTAAATCTCTTCTACAAATGCATTCTCATATTTAAGCACATCCACAGTTGAATCTTCATAACCAGCAGCAAAAGAATACAGAAAATAATTTCCCTCTATGGAATGCTCTCAGTAAGAGCATCTACATTGCCGACAAGGATTTTGGCATATTTTTACTCTAGACACGTTGGGGGAAGGGTTAGCAATTCACTGGGTCATGTATTGATTAATTCCAGGCAGATTGTTTTTTATTCATGGGGTGTCTTGTGGGATAATCCAGCTAATACATTTTCCAATGTGTTGTACCGACCAAATGTAATCCTTTTTTTTTTTTTTTTAAAAAAAAGGTGAAAATTAGAACAACAGCTTCCCTTGCCAACAGAGTGACATCAGAAATGTGTTTCTTAGCTAGGTTTAATTTTGGCGATTGTTTATGTTGCTTTGAGTTTATTTGGGCAGTAGCAAGCATAGACCAAGTTCCTAAAAAGGAAAGCATTGTTGAAAGCTGCAGAAAAACGATGATGCAAAGTGGAAGCCATCCAGCTGAGTATCTTTGCTGTCCTGTGCAATACACTGTGCCGCTAAGGAAACGATTGAAAAAGCTTCTGAAGTCAAGGGAAAAATACTTAAATTTGTCCTTCTCAAATGGAAAACTCCAATTTAAAGGGACCTTTTGGTTAAGGTTTTCCAACTAGAATGCCTAGAATTATTTCCTTAAAACAACAGTTGGCCCCTGTGTGTAAGTGGCTGAATGTAAGTGGCTGTGGCAGGGGGGTTGGAACTAGATGATCTTTAAAGTCCCTTCCAACCCAAACCATTGTGTGATTCTGTGAATTCTCAGAAGTATCAGGCATCCACCTAGAAAATCCTCTGAAGGTGGTAGGACCTGGGATCACTCACCATCTTTGAAATCAGACCGACCACCTGCGCCGAGCCGTCTGAGTGTAACTGTGATTGCTTCAGGCACCAGCTTTTAAAACGTTCATTCTTTCAGTTGGACTTGTAGGTTGCAGAGTTCAGGACTGAGGAGCGAGGGACGACTCCACCGCCCGAAGGAGTGTAGTCCTTGCTGCCATCTTCCAGCCAAAGTGTTAGGTCAGCTCTTCAGTTGCTCCAGGGCTTTCTTTCCTCCCGTGGTTGTTTCTGTACGCTGCTGCATTGCTTTCACAGCAGTCAGCGTCCTTGTGCTCCTTCCTAAACTGCTCCATCATTTAATTGTCCCTGCTCTCGGTTCACACCTCCAGTCACCACTTTGTCAGGTGAAACTGCCAGATTTCCCTTCTCATCCCCTGCAAACTGCACACCATTTTCAGTTAACCATTTTCTACCCATTTAAAATTCAAATTGTTCATGGGGAGGAATCTAGCTTTAGTCTGGGGAGCATGACCTTCCCCACGCCCTACCTGTTTGCCAAGGTTTTTTCTTAAGTGATCGCAGTTTTGGGTAAGTACGTTTGCTGCTGCTTTTTCCGGGTGATTTTCTCTCTCAAGAGGCAACCAAATCCAGTTCCTTTCCCTATTGGAGCTGTCATTGGCTAATCACCAAGTCTTGTATTGAAGAAATAACCATGTGTAAACACAGCAAGGAAGGAAAACAAAATACTTCTGTAATAAGACTCTTTAACTGTAGTTTCATGTCAGTTTATGCTCTCCGCAGTATTCTGGTGTCTCAGAGCTTGTGTTTGGGATAGTTTGTGGTTTGCTCAGTGTGAAAAAGAAACTGGACTGGCAGTGTGAAATACCAAAACAATGCTGTGTAATTTAACTGCTTGAAAGATAAACTGCAGGCAGTGCAGAACAGTCCTGCAGGGAGGCTAAATGCAGGTTCTCTTCATTTCAGGGATGTTCTAAATCAGGTGAAGGATCTTGAATGAAAGTTTGGGTCCTGGTAATCTGCGTAAGGACCTTTATTGGAAGCACAAAATGAAGTTTAATTGAAAAGTAACGTGTTGATTCCACCCAATGTTATGTTTAACTTACGTCTTCAATGGTTAATTTCTGAAAAAGTTCTCCTAAGGTCACCCACTGCCACCTTGATCTTCTCATACAGCTTCTAAGACATTTCAAAGGAGTATCCCAGCTTTTGGTGGGATAAGGAGTATCCCAGCTTTTGGTGAGGGATATCACATAGATTTAGAAGCTAAGGACTTAGTTTGGGCCAAATTTGTATTTCCAGATGGAGTAGAACACAAGGGGTTTCTGCCCAGCTCCTTCGTGTGACACGGAAATACCCACTACACCTCAGTTTTGCACTTGTTAGAAGGGACAGTAGGGCTTCTCCTTGTAAAGCCCTGGAGATCCCCTGGGAGAATCCTAGTTATCTGTTGGGGGCTGCAAATGAAGTTGGATCCCCAAAATTGTGACTTTCATTGGAGTAATAGTTTGAGATGACGATAACACATAAATATATTACAGAAAAATAGGGGGGTTTCTTTTATACTTTGTATATTTTGTTTATTATATACCTGAATGGGAACTGAAAAATACCTGTAAAGTGATAGTCAGAAACTGATTTTCAGCTAAGATGGAATTATTTTGATACAAAATATTTCCTTTAGAGACTACTTGAGTTCATTCAGCAGCATTTATAGTCATTTTTCAGAAGCGTCATTTAAGAAAGTCGTATGCCGTCATCCTCTGCATTGTCCAAAGACTGACTTACGCTGGGAATTATAAATTTTGAGAATAAAGTTGCTGTTGTTTCATAATTGATAGCTGCTTTGCAATTAATTTCATTAATGCTTTAAAGTGCCTCTTAAATGATTCACTGCCTGTTGTTGTGACTGAATTCCTTGGAAAGCCTTGTGAAAGAGTTTGCACATCACCTAAAATAAGTCAGCAGTGTCGCTCTTGGAAGATGTTTTTTCAACTGCTTCATAGGAAATTGGTATCTCAAAACTAGAGTTGGGAAATAGCCTTAACTAAAGGCTTAGCCAACTAGCAAGTAAACAGAGTTAATCTGAGTGTTCCTATTTGTGAAACACAGAGATGGAAAAGAGTACACATGTATGTTTTGAAATGAGTCCTGTGTTTATAGTAGTTACTCCTGTTACACAACTGAAACAAGCACTGTTAGCAAAGCATCTGCATTTTTTCAATCTTGCAACGTAACAAAACAGATTTAGTCCATTATAGGAAAAAAGTAAAACCAGCTGTTAAATATGAGCACAAAGTCAGTGAAGAATCTAGGTTGTGCCTTGTTTTTGAGGCTCATGATATACTGTTCACAAAGAAAACTGAACATGCTAAGTGACCACTTGGTTTTGGTAACATGCTGCGGAGCAGTACTCATGGAAATATTATTATCCATCTCGGCATAGGATGGAATTTTTGTATGTGCTTTGTCTTCAGCAGCAGCCAAAATTGCTGCCAGGGGTACTGTATATTCATGTGAGGTATGTGGGGTCAGGCATGACTGAGAAAGATCGTCTGATCTGAACGCAGAGGTGACCCCTGAGTCCTAGAGAAGACAGAGTAAGATTATTTTGTGTGATTTAGGGCATCTAGAATAGTATAGAACCAGGCCAGAAGCATCTCTACTTATCACAATTTCGTAGTTATAACTATTTGTTATCGTTGACTCTAGGGATGACTATACCAGAAGAAGACGCTGATGTGGGACAAGGTAGCAAATATTGCCTCGTGGCAATAGGAAGGCTTCAGGTAATGCCAGTCTTTCCTTACATAAACTACTTCTGAAAGCATGATCAGTCTTGTGCAAAAAGGATTTGCACAAAGTTTTGGTACTAGACTGTGACTTTTAACGTGCCTCCAAAATACGAATTGCCTTGATGTCGCTGTGCAGCCACTCATGTCAGCAGAGCAAACTGAACATGTGATTTTGGTGCACGCCGTGTGTTTAACCCAACAACAACAGCAAAGATGGTCCTGAAAGATGAGTGTGTACAGACCTGCTGTTCTGTAGGGTGCAGAGGGCTGGGTTATTGAGAGTGCAGGTGCTGCAGATGGCAGGTTAAAGTGGCTCCCACAGCCAGTGGTATGCTCCCTCCTAATCTTTCATTCGTTCTCTCTCTAGCTAATCAACTGCTTGAAAACCTGTGATTGCAGGAGTTACTCTGAAAATGGTAAAGATAGGGCAGTCGAGAGGCACTTCACAAATAGTAGCTTTATTCTCATTGTGTATTTTGTTGTGCATTCAGGTGTGATGCCAGCTGGGGCAACTGTGAGGATAAAATTTCACTTCCTTTTTGTCCAGATGGTTGCACTGGATGTGTTGCATTTTCTTCCTTTGTCCATTGCTGACGAGTTCTGAGCCCCTCAGAACTAGGGAGCTGTAGCAGTCATGGTGAATCTCCTTCAGTGCAGCAGGGAGGCTAGATTTTATCTTCCCAGTCTGGGCATTTTGCCGTGGGTGAACATGTTTGGGCCTCCTGTGTGACCTCCTGTTGGCCTGTACTCATTGCCATCTGCTAGGATGGCATCGCTCCTTCTGAGGAGGTAGAGTGATGCTCTTATTAGAGCGCAGGTCCCAAACCCATCTTACCTGAGGGGAGCAGCCTGCACATCGCTGCAAGCCTCAGCACTGCACCAGCGTGTCTGCGTTGTGATGGCAGAGCTACAAAGGTATTGCATGATGGTTTTCAGGTTAATCGTTTAATACCATCCCTTTTATAATCAAGGGTAATATAGTCCACTGATGGAGAGAAGGAGGTTGTGGGGATTCATGTTACGGCTGCCAAAGAAGGATGCTTTCTGAGCAAATCACGTTACTAACACGTGGATGTCAAAATCTTCCATTAGAAGAGGCAGCAGAGTGTGTAAGGGAGGGCAGGAGGAGGCTCGGTGGCTGGGTTGGATCGCAAAGGAGTCGGTGCACAAACTAAAAGCTGTTCTGTAGCAGCAAATTGAAATCTTGCATACGGTGAACCGGCAAATCTGCCTCAGGGAAGCAAAAAAACGAGATTCTGCTCTTTTTGCATTGGGACCTTGCTAAGAGAGATAGCTCGAAGTTTTAAGTCATACAGCGGTCTGGTTTGTAGCTCCAGAAGGAATGAATGGATGTGAGGCGGCCTGACTGCACGGATTTCAGGCATCGTTCTCTCTGATGGCATTTGAGGAGCATTTATAGGAAGACTGGTTTTTCACCAGCCGCTTGCTGGCCTAATACCACCTACCTCAACCTGTTCAGGTTCTCTGGGTTCTTCAGGTGAGGTTCACCACACCTCAAAGTTGAGTGTTTAGTCTGAGCAGTCCTATTGGATATGTCTACAGATAAGGAGTTCTCCTCTTCTAGAGGTTGACCTTCCTGTCCTAAAATTGGTGGACTGAATTGCTCCCTGCAAGTCTCTCGTTCTTGGTTCACCAAGGTAGGAACCAAGATGTCTAATGTGGTGCCACAGAGTGAGATGAATCCAGCTGTACTTTAATCCTTACTACATCTCTCCTTCTTGGGAACTTGTGGTGTATTTGTTTTCCTGCTCTGCTGTTAAGCTTAGGTAGGTACCACGGGGTGAGATGTTTGCACTGCAATCTAGACTAAAGGCTGTTCTGTGTCATTTGTCTGTGCTATTGTTTAATTTATGGCTTCCTTCAGCAGTTAGCAGTCTGCCAACAGAGGTTGTTCTTTAGCTGTGTAACCAAATTTGACTTCTGGTGACTGTTCTGTGACTTGGTTGGCCCTAGGTAACCAGCTCTCCAGTGTGCATGGACATGAACGGCATGTCGGTCCCCACTGAGTTCTTGTCTAGGCACAACTCTGATGGAGTCATCACCTTCGTCGACCCAAGGTGCATCAGCGTCATTGGCTACCAGCCCCAGGTCAGTGAGTTGCTGGAGATGCGGAGACTGATTAGAGCTAATGAAGAAAATTCCATTTGCGTGTTAAAAAAAAAAAAGCAGCAAAACATAATTTATCAGCTACAAATATTTCATGTGTCATGCACTGTTCATTTTTCGTTGCTGTCCATGCCTCTCTAAAAATTACCGTTGACCCTTTCATTATGTGGGGTATTTTTTTAGATCCAATTAAAATTCTAACAGCAAGATGCTCTCCAGTGAAGACATTTCTATGATAGAAAGTTAACCGTGCTTAGGGGGAGTTTTAGTCCCGTAGATCTTTACCTCTACCAATCTATTGAACAGTAAGCACACATCATTTGTGGCACCTATTTTCCTTCAGGCTGACATCTGCTCCTCTGAACAGGAGGCTAGTTGCAGAACTGAGTAGAATAGTAAACGAATTCCTGACTACCACAGCTCTCCCTTGGATAACTCTCACCAGTTGCAATTTAGAGGCAAAGACAATTTCTTGCTCATTTGTTATTCCCATTTATTTTGATTTTAGGTAGCTTTATAATAACTGTCTTTACAAAAGTTAATGCCATAAAATGAGCTGTAGTAGAGGATGTCAGTCTCTTCAAGTCACCATTTCACAGGTATTTAAAATATCACTTAAAATTTGTTTGTAAATGCATATATCTGTGCAACAGCACAAATACCATGTGGGACAATGCCCACAGACCTTGTTTCTATGATTCATCCCCGATTAACATTAAGGGTGGTAGAACTAGTGTCTGCAAGGATTACTTGCAGATCTGCATGTGGATTTGGGTTGTGGTTTGGGTTTTTACACGGATTTATGTTTTATTCTAGGATCTTCTGGGGAAAGATATTTTAGAATTCTGCCACCCTGAAGATCAAAGCCATTTGAGAGAGAGTTTCCAACAGGTGCTGTCGCCTGCTCTTTTTCTTCTACAATTTATTTATTATTTTTGTTATTACTGTGTTCACAGAAGCAGCTTTTATCTTGCATTTCAAGGTATTTTTTCTCTTAGGCAGGAGGAGAGGCAAGATATAAAACAATTTGTTGATCAGAGAGTATTCAGTTAAGCTGTATGAATGGTGGTTTAAACTGCAGTGTGTGCTGGCTGTATTTTTAGAAACAAGTCACCTCGTTACGCATTTTGTTTTCTTTTTACATAAGATTAAAGAGCTTTCACTCCACACTTAGAGGTGTTTTGGAGATGCCTGTATAGATCCCACTATGTTAAGCGGTAACCGAAAGCACTTACCTGCCAAGATGGGCTGTTGGTTTGACACCCCTCTGTAATGCTGTGCCGTTTGTGACCTAAATTCTCTGCTAGCATACTTTAATGGAGTTACACCACTTCACATCAACAGAGAATTTGTCCCTTCTCACTGTCAGGAATTGAAATGCCGAGAGAAGTAATAAAAGCAGTGCAACATATGGGAAGAGTTACTGATTTTTTATAGTGGGCCCCATTTACATCAGCTATATCAAAGGCATTTATTCCACTGTAGAACTTATTGTTTCAAATTGGTCTGGGACTTACAGTAGGAGTGCTTTCTCCAAGCCTTCTGTTTGTTGCTGGTCTTTCCAGTGCCTTCCCTGCTGCACTGGAACGTATGTATGTTTAACCGATTACTGAGGTTCAGCTGATCTAAGTGGTTCCAGATTTTCTGACAACAGCCTGCAGCTCAACCGAGTTGTGTTGATCCATCTTGTATTGGACGCTGTGATGTATTTTCAGCTGTGAAACATGGATACGAAGTGACTTCTAAAATAATTTGTATAGCCAACTCTTTATTCAGGCATGGCACGCGAAACAGAGCTTTAAAAGCCTCTCTGGGGAAAAGAACTAAATGCTATTCTGTGCCGACAGAACAGATTGTGAAACTGAGGTTAGGGTCTCTACACAAGTTAAGGTGTCAGTACCCCCGAGCTCCTTCTTGCCATCCCCTCCTTCAAGTGCAGACTAGCAGCCCTGCTGCTGAGCTGGTGGAAAAGACTGTGTGAGCACTCTGCGTCTGCTTCCATCCATCCTTGAACGGGCTGAGTTCAAACAGCAGCTAAAGGCTTTTTGAATTCGAGCTGTTGACTCGCAGGTGGGGGCCTGTGAGAGTTTGGTGCTTGAAACAGGTCATCACACCCGGACATCACCTCTGCCCACCTTGGCGGGGGTGTGATACTGCAGCTGGACCTGCCTGCTGGGTAGCTGTCATCTCTCTTCCCTCCTTCCTGACCTCCTCCCCGGCCTTCCTGCTATCCCGATACTGGCCCAGACGGACCTGCGGGTCAGCTAGCTGAGGGGCTAATCACTGTTGGATGGGACTGGCTTCAGCTGGTTCAGCTCCCTGAACTTGAGCCTCATCATATCAGTGGTGGACGACGAGCAATGAGAGCGCATATGCTGTTTTTCACTAATGCCCAAATGATTGATTCCACTGATTTATCCAGGAGACAGTGACAGAGAGCTGCTGGATAATAACATGTTGAACATCCGTCTCTGAAGTGATTGCCTGGGGCTCAGAAGGGCTGACTAACCAGCGTTCGAGTTGGTCCTCAGTGTGTTCACTGCGAGGGAGATCAGGCTGTGGAAGACTGCTGGTGTATCCCTGGACTCAGTTCCTGGGGATTTCACTGTCACTGTTCGCTATTAGGCCTGTGCATAAATAATTTTCTGGATCAGGGACCTACATCATTTGCTTAAGGTCATACAGAAAGACAGTAGGAAAAAAATGCAGAGTAGAAGTGAAAGTTCCTGTTCACTCGACCTGTGTCCAATCTACAAAAATATTGTGCTGTTTCTTTAGTAGGCAATTCCTTTTTTGGTATATTTTTGTTCAGTACAGTAGCAGTGTGACTGGGGCTGTTACTTCAATCGTGCAATAAAAGCCTGAAGTAAACAGTTAGGCTATGCACCAGGTGGTTTTTATTTCCAAAGAATGTAAGAAAGTAAAGGTTAAACATTAGCTCTGAATTTTTTTGTGCTGTCTTGTTTGTGTGCACTGTTTTAAGACAGTTCAGGATTTTCCCACCAGCGATCTCTATGCTTTATATATTATTACAGAATTAGTGTTTGCTTAATTCAGACTTCAGGACAATAGATCACTGTAGTTTGTTTTATTATTGTTAGTTTGAAATCTTCTCATTAAGAAAGTAACTGATTTCCAATAAACTCTTTTTTTTTTTTTCCTAAAACCCTCTGAAATCTTGACATTTCTCATTTGCTGACAGTATCAGAACCAGGTTGATGCATAACAGAGGAGGGAGGGAGGGGTTTGCAATTTTTGGTCAATTGCCAGTATCCATTTCAAAGCTTTTACTTCCTCGGGAAGATAAATTCATTCATCAGGGTGGGAAAATCAGGCCAGAATAAGATAGTCTCAAGGCCAAGATCAACAAATAGAGTTGAGTATCAAAGGATCCAGAATGCAGCTATTTGATATCCAGTAAGATGCTATTCAGATTGGACACTTTTACACAAGCTCTGTGGTTTTTACCCTGGGTGCGGTGGTAGAAAGTTGCTGATAAAAAAAATGTCACTCACTGAACTCAAACTGCAAAAGCATTTTAAAACAAATTGAAAGGCATTTACCTCAGTATGAATTTAAACTTTCCTGAGTATTGCTAAAGCTTTTTGTATTTTCTATTTGCATTCTTTCCATTTAATCCTGTATCCAGTTGATCAATTTGAAATGCAGACCTTGGGGAAAAAAACAGGATTGGAGCATTTTTCCTAATCCAGATGTTTGTCAATAAAGACAGAGGGTAAATACTGGGTTTGCTACTTTTAGAGAATACAGGCCGCAGATAGCTAGTAAGAAAATAAATTCCAGTGGATAAGGATTAAGAATCCACAACGAGATGTGGTATTTATTTGCAGTAGACTTTCCTTTTCCTTCCCTGAGGCCACCCCTGTGATAGCTTGGTGGAACAGCAATAAAAAATAAACACAGTCCAGGTAAGTGCCAGCTGAATGACTTGAAACCAAGGTTTCTTCTGACTTAAACCAAGATTGCTATATAACACAAAAAAATGCAGTTACAGTGCAAGTATTGTTTTGAGCATATTTCTTTAGCTGGCTGCTTCTTACCTCTCACTTGCTGCCCAACTATTGACTTCAACAAACCTTCAGCTACCAGAGACACAATTTGAACTGAGTATTGCCAGACATCTGAACTCTTAATCGTAAATGAATAGGCTGTCCAAGCGAAGAATTTGCTCTCTGTTTTCATTAATACTGTTAAAACTGACAGTGGGCTCGTTGATGTTTTCTCCATTCAAAGACTTGCTCACTCTTGCTGGTTTTGAAAGCCAGAAGCGTTTCTTGTTACCACTCTGCCATTGTAGATGGTCTTACAGTGTGTTTGTGGGGGAAAAAAACCCCAACAGCCATAATAAATAAATATTATCCTAAATTCTGATGCTGATGTGTGAATTGGTGTATCACATATCTGAATTGTATAGCTAGGTATCCAAGCAGAAAAGCCGATAACCTCAACATGTTTTTCTCTTGTTTCAGCTGCAGTGTTTGATTTACGGTTCACATATAGATACTTAAAAGACCCTCAGTTTAATTTCTGTCAATCTCTAAATGAGCATTCAAGATTAAAAGCTGCTTCTTAAAGAAGCTTTTATCTGTTGGGATAACAGCACAACCCATTGGTTGTCCTCAATCTCTTTTATTCTGACATGCAAGCTGTAAGATGGCATTCTGTTCAACCAAGCGTGAGGATTTCTTTCTGAAGGGCATAGCTGCAAACATGGATCAGATTTTGCTTATTCTCTTCAAATCTCCATGCTGTGTCCATAGCTTTCTGTAATTCAGGTTTAAAACACCCCAGTTACTGCTGTTTACTATTCATTTTCCCAGCAGGTAGCGATCTCCTTTTATTAACCTTCCCAAATGGCTTTGCAGGTTGTGAAGCTGAAAGGTCAAGTCCTGTCTGTGATGTATCGTTTTCGTACCAAAAACCGGGAATGGATGCTCATCAGAACCAGCAGTTTCACGTTTCAGAATCCTTATTCCGATGAGATTGAATACATCATCTGCACCAACACTAATGTAAAGTATGTGCCTTTCCAGATACCTTCACACCGGGGTTTTGAAAGATTTTAAGCATTGCTTTTTGCTGTAAAGCACGTTGTGATTTTCTGGTAGCCTGTTTCTAGCTACCTTTGTTTCTCTACACCAGTATGGTTTGTAACAGGGGTTTTCTGCACCAGGAGCTCTCACAGCATAGCTGTTTCTCTGTGTCATTATCCTGCGATGCTTCCTGGGCTGTACTGGGAGAGAAATGTCACTTACCTGTTACGTCGTTAGACGAGCCCATTGATTTTGGTCCAGGCTGCCTTGGACTGTCACAGAGCTTCCATCAGCAGAGCAGTGGTCCTGGAGGAAGGTTAGCCTGACTCCTAAGCCAAGGAGAAAGTTGCGTGTCTGTGCTCACTGTGATCATACCATTCCATAGTCCTGGGCATCTTCTCCTTGGGCTGTGTCTATTACGGCCTGTGAAAGCTGGCAAAACTACCTCCTAGTAGGCTTGAGTGGGAAGGGCTCCTGATACGCTGGTGTAATATCCCCAAGTATGGGGACAGACCCGACCCCTTATCTTAAGAGGGGGATTGAAGCATCCTGCCTTTGAATTAATATTTCCAAAAATCTGTCATTGGACCTCCTAGGAGGAAGTCACCCTAGGAGTCTAGTGGAGCTTGGTTGCTGTGTACCCAAGCAGAGATGCCTTTGGAGTTCTGAGCCAGTAATTGCAGAAGTTACTTGATAAAGCCTTTGCTTTATAGTGTGGGGCTTTTTAATAAATATTTCTTCTTTCCAATAAAAACTTAAATCTGTTTCTAAAACAAAATCTGCTTCTGGTCTGACCAAAATTTTTTTGCCAAGTTTTTAGCTCAGAGGAAATTATTGGGTTTAAGATCTCAACCTGTTAGGCTGAGGCTGTCTAATGGAAATGCTGAAAACGCAGCCTGCTAGCGGGGATGCACGCTGAGAGCTCCACTTGCAATACCAAACTCCTGCGGCTTTGGCATTTGAACTTCGAAAGCTAGTCCGTGTCTCTGGGTGTTCCTTGACTTGCTCCTTTGGATGTGACACATACCCAGGCGAGAAGAGCTATGCATTCACTTGAAACCCAGCGCCACAGTCATTTTGAAACCCAGCATCACAATCAGTTTGCTCTATTTTCTGCATACCCAAAAAATTGGGCTTAAAGAACTGAATAGTTAAGCTCATTGAAAACAAGCAAATGTGTCTTGAAATTAACTAAGTATCTCCCTGTCTGCACTGTGCATCAAAATAGTTTTTTCCACATTTCTGCTGTCCCATATTTCTTTTCCAAGTAACTTGTATATGCAAAAACAGCCCTGCAAAATCAAAATCGTCTTCTGAAATCTGACCCAGGCTGGCTTAATTGTGCTTTGTTCCTGAGAGTCCACAGATCAAAACATGAGGCTGTAGGCTTGTGTTGTGTTGACTCTGGGAATGTTTTTTTCCAATCCTTCACTATACCGTTTAGCTTGGCATTGCAGCACTTACGTGATGAATAGGACTGTGCCAGCTTCTGGCTCTCGTTACATCTCTATTGCTAGGTTTGAATAACAACCCAGAAATGTTGACCTAATATGGAAGTTGCCTGCTGCTACTTTGACAGAGGATGTTCCCTCTTTCCTGTCATGTTGAAAATGTTCTAGTCTTGTGGCAAGATAAAGCGCATTATATGCCTGCTTTTGAGGAGTAGAAAGAGCGTATTATTCAAACTGTTTTCTTTTCCCCCTGTTCTCTCCCACTTCTCAGACAGATTTCCAAAGAGGACTTACTGTAATGTACCACTGTTCCTGCCCGATGCTGGGTTTATTTATCTTTTTGCACATTTGGGGTCATGTTTTGACTTCGGATTTCCTAGATGCCTTGGGGAATCGTACGTCATGGTAACCGTTGATTTCCGCCTTCTGCCTAAGCTCCCGCTGAGGCTGGATGTTCAGCAGTGACCCCAGTGTGCGCGGCCAACTTCACGTGTCGGTGGAGGCACCCCATGCTCTGTGACCCGCAAAGTGCTTCACATGAGACCAAGCAGGGGCACCTTCTGCAGTATTTGGTGTGTCTGTCGCTGTGATAACCTAGCCAGCTCTGTAAAATACAGCTTTGAGGCAGTTACAAATTCAGCATGAAATTGTAAAGGCGATGTAGCATGAAGGTCTAGGTTTAAACTGGTTTTTAACTTAGGATAGTTGACAGCCACGGTACGTGCGTCTCTGTGTCTGTTCACTCACTGAGTTGGTCAGTGAAGAGCATTTTCCCAAAAGGCTGTAGAGGGCAGTGGTGGTTCCAGTTAGGGAAGGATTAATTGATTTTTGTTGGTGGTTTGTTTTGTTTGTTTTGTTTTGTTTCTTCATTTTTTTTAATAAGGACACTCCTTTGGAGCACCAAACTGTCGATTTTCCAAACTTGCCCTTGATGCGGAAGGATAATGAAACATTAGGTTCAAATGTTCACGTAGTTCCTTGCGAAAAAAAGAAAACAAAACTTCTCTCAGTTTCACTTGGGTGTAGTCATCCAAGAGAAACTTCCTGGAGAAATGAAGCATTCAACGTGTAGCATTTGTGCTGCGTTCGGCTGAAGAGCCTCGCGTTTGACCGCACCTTCCTGTGTAGTTGGGACTGTTTGATTTCCAAAAAGGAATAATAATTGCGATCAACGTTTATTCGAGGTACACATAGAGCAGCGTTTGAATAACATCATGTCGTGGTGACAGATAAAGCTGGATGAAAGTCTTTGGAGAGAGCGAGAGAGGAAGAAAGATGTTTTTGTAACGTATATGGCTGTTGTGGTGTTTGAGGTTTGACAGCCCAGAGCCCTGCGTGGCACTGTGTCTATTCATGAATAGAATCATAGAGTCATGGAATG